GTCGCTGCGCGGAACGCCGGTGCCGGGGGAGCCGTTTCCAGCCGAGCCGGGCCGGGCGGCGGGAGCGGCGACGCGTCGGTTCCCGCCGGCCCATCTTGAGGGGCGGCCGGTTTGGCCCGGGCGGCCGGGGGGCGGCATGGCCAGGGCGGCGAAAGCGCTGACGACCCTGAGGAATCACTGGAAGAAAACCACGTTCGGGGTCTGCCTGCTGAGCTGGGGCGGGCACTGGCTCTATGGGAAGCACTGGTAACTGCCGGCTGGGGCCGGGGGGGCGGGAGGGAGAGAGACCCGGGCCGCCGTGCCCCCCCAGCCCCGCCGTGTGCCCGCGGGCTTTCACAAGCGGCCGGCCCCGGGCCGTGAGGGCACCGCTGCCCTGTTCGCCTCGGCTGCCCGGGCTGCCGGCCCTCTGCCTGAGGCGGTCTCCCCTCGCCGCTGTTAAAGCGGGGGGTCTCCCCTCAGAGGGGTCCGGCGCCTCGGGGGGTGGCTCTGCCTCCCCCTCCAGCAGCCCTGAGCTTAGGAAGGCTCGGTGCCTTTTTGCGACTTCCCACCTTGGCCTTGTTGTAAGTTTGGGGCTAGTCAGGCGGTAGTTTTAAACAGAGGTGTTGTCGGGGTGGCTTGAGTAATTCTGGAGGCTGTTGGAGAGGAGAAAGGTTTACGTCTTCTAACTTCAAAAAAACGCCGTCAGCCAGGTGCGTGTCGTCGGCTTGCTTGCTTTTGACCAATATTACAAGGATGAATGGAACCAGAGGCCCAACACCTGCAAATGCTGATGGGAAGCCCCCTTCATGGGCAGAGTGGGGCCATCACAGCACGGTGGTCGTGTGCCCGTGGGCTTCCCCGCCTCCTTTTTTCTTTTAACGGTGCCATACACCGCATGAAAGATGCCAGTTTTCTGTTGCACGAGCACTTGTTCCTTTCTTGAGGCACGGCACTGGCGGCAGCCGTGCGCTGTGCCTCCCTGATGCGCCCGCTTTGCTGTTGTCACCCGCTTTGCTGTTGTCGCCCACCTAGCTCCACAGAAGGAGCCCGTCAACCGCTGCAGCAGCAGTACTGCTAACATAAGTCGTACCTAGCAGGGTGTCATTTCCACTGTTTATCTGTGGAGCAAATGTTCCTTATAGTAAGCAATATCGTCCTTCACAATTTTTAAATAGCTAGGCTTATGTTTTAATCCCTGTCCTTTAAGATTATGGTTAATACATTTGACTAAAATCCAAGTATAGCCAAATTATTTTTTAAAATTGCTACTTTTGGTGCTGCGGTTTATTCTGTCACTGTCTTAATGTCTTTTTAATTGTTAAGTCATGATTTTAGCAGTGTTCTTTTCTGCTTACATTAAAACGCTGCAAAAGCCTCGGTGGAAGACTTAGGAAAATAAATCTGTTTATGTTATTTGGTATACTTCTTTATTTCCTTTTGCCTCGGGACTTTTGCATTAAATCAGTCTTTGTTTTGAATGGTACATCTGCTTTAGTTGCTTACTTCCTACCTGAAGTACTAAGGCTCAGTTGACTGCAGGGCAAGCAGCAAAAAAACTCTTCCCTCCATACTTTTTTCTTTGTAATTGCTGATTGTAGGGCAGGCTATGGTAAGGTGGAGAATAACCGTGTGAAAGCGGTGGTAACAAGGTCATGGTTTCATGCGTATGCCTACATGGACCAGCAGACAGAAAAGAAGTACATAACGTACTGCCGTGTTGTAAGCAGTATTTGTGCTAAGCAGATTGGGTTTTTTTTGATGCCTTCGTGTAATGTCAGTGGGTCCTTGAGCTTGCATTCCATTTTTCCCTCTGACGACTTGAACTTTGAATTCAGAAAAAATAGCAAAATGTAAATGAGTATTTACTTGAAGTTCTATCATTCTAGATATCTCTTAGCCAAAAGAATAAACTGAATGTACAAAATGAGGAGGAAGAAATTGTTTGGTGGCATTCACATGAGGGGCTGGCTGGTGGGATAGAGCAGCCTGTGACCTTCCCAGGTACCCTGCTTACACAAGTGGCCTCTTTACTGGTCTTCTGTTGCCACAGATACTAATGACAGCAGAGTGCATGTCGGGCCTGGGTACTATAGAGAGCTACTGAAATAGAGCATTAAGAAAAGACTATATCTGCTCCTTGTACATATGGAGAGTGGGCACTTGAGGAGGCCTAGGAGCAGCGTCAGACACAACCAGTCTCCCCTTCATATCTGTTGTTTCTGGGAGTTCATGTGCCTATGTACTGTCAGTTTCAACTGTATTGATTTCCTGTGCAGTTAACTGTAAAAACATGTTATGATCACTGAGAACGTGATGCGTACTGTTCTGATATGGTGGTGAATGAGGAGGAAAATATGAAAGGCAAACAAACAAAAAGGGAACTTTTGGTATGTAAATTTCAGTGCTTGGAGGTTAATTGCACCAAGTGTAGGCATGGTGCTTTAACCCAGATGATGTAGTGGGGAAAAAAATGTTTACACATCCTATTCTCCAATCTCCCCTTTTATCTGTAAGGGAAAATACAGCATTTCCTTACCAGACATTGGAAATGCAAGGTAGGAAATCCTGTGATGACAAACAGCTCCGTGTGACTTTGATGTAGACTGAAGCACAGCTGTAAAGTACTGCTTTCAGAGATTTAAATACTGTTTGGAGAAAGTGACAACCGTTTAGCCATTTCTCTGCGGAGGATTGTTTTAGCCACAGAAAAGAAAAATGAGGAGTGACAGAAGAACCTGATGGCAAGAGTGTAAAAATCCAAAGGTGGTCTCAGCAGCCCTTTCATGGTACTCTGTGCACAGTGAAGGCCTTACCTTGTAGCTGTTGGACATCAGGGAATAGGCCAGGATCCCCCTTTGCAGCTTGTTTTGCCTCCAAATGTGGTAATGGCTTTTGATGGGGGGTTTTTTGTACATTCCCTCTTCCCAGTTTCTTTGTTTATGTACCAGTTATGCTGAGGAGCAGGAGAGGTGCCTTTTGCCCCGTGCGCAAACCGTTGCAGGTAACCCTTGAAGAAGTTAATGAAGGAATCACGTATGGGCTATGTTAGCCATGAGGCTTGCTGTTATCAATATCAGAGGCTAAATTACTATGCGTGAGGCATACTTGACTAGACTTACATTTGCCCTTTTAGAACAGATTAAAGGTTTAGCGAAGTCTTTTGCGTCGGTTTCTGGCATCACTGGAATTTCTGACGAAGGGGCTTGCTTTAGCACAGCATCAGTTCAGATTAGCCTCTGACTTCTTGGAATTAGCTGTCTGAGATGTTGCTCATTTATTTGCAGCTGAAGAAAATTTTTTTTTCCCATCCTGCATCTTTCTTCTTGGCTTTTCCATCCTAGTGGATTTTCTAAGATATTTCTCTTGCAAGGAGAAGATCATTTGCTTTTTTGACTTCTCAAGGTTCCTCATTCTTTTGGATGCAGAGGCTATGATGCCTGCATTAAGTGGAGCTATCGTAAATAACAATCTGTCCTGCAAATAAATGGCAATTCTTCTATAGGCAGTCCCTACGTGCCCATAGGGACAGAAGAGCTCTGGAGTACTTCCTTAAGATTTTGGAGGATGCTACGTGGACAAATGTGGACAAGAAGAATGTTACCTTTTCCAGACTTGCTCCTCATGCCTCTTTCCTGCCTGGAAATGAAGCTGGGTGTCCTTCTCCTGCACCCTGCAGACTGTGATGTGGGGTCTGATGTGGATGCTCCAGGGGCACTGGAGTGTAATGGTTCATCACTGAGTTAGTCTAAAGGTTGTGGATGACGATAACTGTAAAGGTCGAGGAGCTTCTTAGCCCAGTCTGGTATGATACTTTCTTCATGCAGCATTTAGTTTCTGGATCAGTGTGTTAGCCTTTCATCTTTGGAGGTGTTTGTTCAAATACTCACCGATTTAAAAGTAAGGGGTTTTTGGATGAATGTGAAGAGTGAAGAGTAAAGAGGAAACCTTTTGCTGATTCCCCCTCGCCCATTTGTGATTCAGCCCTTCTAAGTATGTAACATAACGGAAGGTGCCTCTTCAAAAGAGACATTGATGAGAAGGTGGCAAAGGTTTTTCATGTGTAAAATGATAGGCATTATGTCTGGTTGAACTACTGTTAACTAAAACCCTATTGCTATTCTTACAAAACCTTAGTGAGTCTTAAAATTCCTTTCTTTCTCATAAAAGAATATGTTTTAAAAATCCATTATCTTGCATTTAGAATAGAAAATACTCTTGTAGTATTGGAGAATTAAGAAGATAACTCAGTGTTGTCACGTAAGATTGTCTCCCTTTAATTTCTCTGGATTGTATGAATTTATGTATTAGCATCGTTTTAATCTATAGCATATCATACTACAGGTACGAGGGACACTGAATTCAATGTACTAGATTGAAGCTTAAAGGGTATGCAGATTGTCGGATACATGCTTATACACAGTAACGTACTTCTGTTTAACATATACACGTAAGGTTGACTGCAGATAAAGATACCATATGATTGTTTAAAGATTTCCACCAAGTTTGGAAGCCCCTCTCACCTTTTTGTCCTGGGTCACCTTTCCTGAATTGAGCTGCTGCTGTTCTTTATGTATCCAGGTGGTGCAGTGAGTCACCAGCTATGTCAAATCAGCAGAAATTTAATCTCTGGCATGATGGACATCAGCTTAATTGATTGTCAGATTTGGCCGGACTGTTACAGTGGTGTCACTGGGTAAGTGATCATCACTTTGTCAGGATGGGGACCCTTGATATTTGTACTGAGACGGTGGACTCATCAGATAGATACTCAGTTTTACTCTGTATATGTTAAAGTATTGACTTTTTTCCGTAGAAAATGCTGGCAAGGCATCTGGGCCTTTGACTGCTTGCCAGTAATCTGAGTTTTATTGTTATCTATAATTTGAATGTTAGCCTCTGCGCATTTGCCAGCTGATAACTCCCTTTGTCACCTTTCTGCATATACTTCCTTAGTGGCTGACTTATTTCATCAAAACTTTGTCAAAAAACCCAGAGTATAAATTCTGAGTCTTTGGTAAAGCTGATGAAAACTAAGATTTGTCTTTCCTGCCCTTCCAAAGGCAAGCTGGAAGTAACGCTAATATGCAGCAAAGAGGATGCTGTGCTCTTGCTGTATTGGAAGCAGCCAAAAAGCTCTCTGCTAAGATAAAATCTCTTTTAGCAGTTCTATTACAGCTCTTGAGGAGTGATCCTATATGCACAGCTGTGGTCAAGTTTCTCCTCACAAAACTCTTGTGTTTTGATGCAGACACTGAACTGGAGAGTTTTTAGACTGCTTCTTGCTTGAATATACTTAATAGTCTTAGCTTTAATGCTGATAACCCATTTTGAAATGGGATCTCATACCTGAGTTTCTTTATACATTTGTAGTATGGTCACTTTCAAAGGAGTTGCTTTGGTTGGTTCCAAGACGAAGGCTTTCCCTTGCTGCAGCTTCGGTTTGTGTTTGCTGTCTTCTCCTTGTGGAGTTCATTGCTGCCCTGGCTGACCTTTCATTGTGGGAACCGTACTTTCCGCCCTGGCCTCTGCTGGCACTTGGGCAGAGGATGCAGGCTCAGCTGGAGGAGCATACCTACTAAATTGTGTGGATCTGTGTGCTTATAGGTAAGAGTGTTAATTCCCTATTCTAGCTGAGAATGCTTAGGACAGGAGCAGTGGCCATCAGTCCTGCGCTGGGGATGTTGCAGGCAAATCAGAATAGCCCTTGTTCAAGTGGGTTGTATGGATGTTGCGCTCTCACAGCCCCGTGTGTTCTGGCAGCCCGACATGGCTGGTGCGTGGTGAGCTCTGGACAGTTGCTCTTCCTTTCTTTCTGCATTGGTTCCTTGCTTTGGCTTAAGCCTGCTCTGTTCTCCGAAGAGCCTGCACTGCCGTGGCTGCTGGCCTTGCAGGATTGACTGATATCTTTGTCGAACCAGTCAAAGTTCTGTCCGTGGGTTCAGCTTAGGACATCCTCTTTCTTCCCTACCCCACTGCCACTGCTTGTTCCTCTCTGTTTCCCAATTTTTTACTGCTTAAGCAAGTTGGCCCAGTTGTAAGCTGTGTGATGCTTAATTCTCATAGTGGGAAGGCAGCCCTGGCATTGGCGAGCAGATGCAATACTGCACGTCTGTTTCGGTTTAAGGCAGGAGTTGTGTCTATAATCCCTTAGGGGAAATGTAAAGTAAAAATTGATTTTTAGTTTGCTGCGGATATGGTGCACGTCAGAAGAAATCTCTGTGTGTTCTTTAAGACAGTGCAGGAATTTCCCTTAGCTTCCACCTGCTCATGTTCAAGTGTCATTGAAAAGGCTTTGTTACTGCAAAATATTAGTCAAAAAAGTATGAAAAATCAACAAAATCTTATGTTTATTATTAAAGTCTCTTCTTCTCTGGGAGCTGGTACACAGCTATTTTTGATAATCTAATATGTACCAAGACAGAAGACTTCAAGAAGTTACCTTTCTGCTATTTTTAACACTCTTCTAGCAATATTTACCAATTGGTATGACCTGCAGAGGACTTCCAGACCCACTTGTGGTACTTCAGGTGAGCCATATGAGATGAATAAAGGCAAGAGCTGTCATACAGGAGGAGGACTGCTGTTCTCACAGATACACCCCTGTGAGCACACTTGTGCTTTTTCTTCTTAAGTGTGAAGATAGTTAAGTGTTGACATAGTATTTTAACGAAATAAAAGTTTTCCTGTTACCTGGTATCTTTAAGCCAAACTTGGGACATCTTTAAGCAAACTCAGATGACTTCGAAATACATGTCGTAGTTGAGTCAATGGGAATCCTATGAGTATGGCTGAGATGGCATGGGATTCTGGGTGCTGTGCTACTGGAGAGGTGAGACAAATAACCTATACATTACTGGACAGTAGATGGTTCTTCTGGTCTCAGAACCTAAACCTTTCCTTTGACACCAAAATGATACGTGTCAGGGTAGACTTCTGTTTCTGTTAAGTGTTTCAATGCAGGAGAAACTAAGCTTAAATGTTGACATCTAAACTGTCAAGACTAATTTTTATGGTTAAGACTCTGAGCTGAATCAAGCTTGCATCCTTTACAGTTGTTTTGAGGGTCTCTGCAGGTTGGGACAGAGAGCATGGTATTTTTTGCTTGCATTTGAAAAGTTGTGCCTGACTCCATTTTAAAGGTGATTAACACTGCAGCATGAGGTTGTGGGCACCAGGAAAACATACTGTCTGATGATGTGACACAGCTTGACTTCTGAACAAAATAGCATCAATGTGAAGTAAACAGATAACATGGATTTGATTAGAATTTGTTAATAAGGTTAGGACAGCAATTCTCAAATACATCAGCTGTGCAGCCATAATTTGATAGTGGGTTTTCTTGATATCCCATAATTAAAGTTTATTCATTGAAATTGCAATTGCTTTGTGTTTGCTCTGACCACACGTAGTCACAGAGGGGGAAAAAAAGTCCCTATATGAGGGCTCGTGCCCTCAGCAATGCAGTGTGGACTTAGCCTGTCATGCTGTCTTGATTGATCTGCAATTAGCTGTGTCAACGTTGTTTAGCTTGGAACACAAACCTTTTCAGAGATAGTTATTTTAACTAGTGTGCTTTCATTATATTGCTGCAATCAAAACCAAGTCTGTCACTCCTCTAAGTAATATTTCAGGTGTTTAATACAAATAACTTATTCCTTTGGTTTTAAGGAGCAAACATGACAGTTAAAAGCATGCCTCTCAGGAAATTCTTTTAGACATTCCAGTTACTTGTTATCTTGGTGAGGTATTATTCACATATTTTCTTTTTCCATGCTTGAATTCTTCCTTTGTCTCTTTATTATAACCAGGAATAAATCCATGGCTTTTTTGCTGTAGTGTTATTTTCTCAGAACCCAACTTTCTATCTCACCTGAAGTCACCCTACTTCTCCTGTGGTGATGCCAAAAAGAGCAGCTTCTATAGCTCCAGTGACAGATAAATACTGTAAACTCATGAAATTGATTGCACTCACATTTGGGTCCAGAGGTCTGACCAAGGCCTTGCCTTCTCTTCTGCCATTTCCATTGCAGGATTTGGCCTGATGAGCTATACTTTGTGGCAGGAGTATGCTTCTTTCCTAGTCACTTGTTTTTCCTGGTTGGCCTTTAATCCTTTTAATTGGTGTAATGTATTTGTTTTGGTATGCTGACTATAATTAGGGTTTTTGTACTTGATATATTTGAGACAATAATATACTGTCTTGCCAGGTATTGGCAAGGGCAATCCGAAGGAGTTTTTTGGTTTTAGCAAGGATGGGGGAGTGTCTGGTATCTAGAGGACAGGTGAGACTTTGGGCACTGCAGAACAGGACTCCCTGTTTTGTCTGCAAAGGCCAATGGGGCATTTTTTGGTCTGGGGAAGAATGGAATTTTGTTCCTCACTCAGTAGCTCTGTCTCCGGTTTGCTTGCCAACTATACCCTGCTTGTCACCTTGCTAATGCTGTCTGTCACCAATGATAAGCACAAGGATTAGTCTGAAATTTATTTCTGAAATTACCGTCAGTGACATATCTAATACTGACATTTTCGTCTTTGTTTTTAAACTTCGCTTAGGTGAGTTGAGTGATTTTTACCTCTCTGAGATACTGCTTTAGGCCATGCTCAGACCTAGGTGGGTGGTGGATGCTGCATTAACATGTGTTCAGCTGACAAACTGACGTAAAGGGGAGTTCACAGTTATAATGCGCAAAGATTTAAGTCCGTGGAAGTGACACTGAAGTCTACTCTAAATCCCTTCTATACTGCCAGTGTAAATACAGGCAGTATTAACGTTGGAAAAAACCACACCTTAGATCTGGAGTACAGTTATGTAGCAATTTAAAAATAAATCACAGTTATACAGTGTCTCATCCCATAGCTTATGTAATCTTGGCACACTTGGCATCCTGGTCTTTGTTTTCTGCTTTTCTTTACTATAGAAAGGGTGTTTGTGTGTATATGCAGAAAAAAATTATGCATGTGTGCTTAAATGGGTGTGTTTCATCCTTAAAATGTGTTAAACAAGTCTTAAAGAACCTGTATATTTTTATTTTAATGCATTCAAAGTGTGTGTAAAAAGGGTATGTGCTTACAGTAAAAAATGAGCAAATTGTTTTAAACTTACACAACCTAATGTCCACTCTCTTTTCTGTCTTACCTAATAGCGATAACCTGCTACGAAGAGCTGCGTGCCAAGAAGCCCAGGTAATACCGTTTAAAGTGATAAAATTAGATTAAAATCTCCCTCTTATCTTGGTTGTGCAGGGCTCCTGAGATTTTCCCAGCGGGCCCTCTTTACGTGACAAGCCTTACAATGATGCCATCTGTGTTCTTTTGCTAAAAGTGCCAAAGGGGGGACAAGGCCTCCGGCCTGCAGCAGGGGTACTGTACCTTTCGTGCCCTCGCTGCTGTTGCAATGGATGGTGCACTGTTATTGTTGGGCTAGTCTTATTTACTGCTGTAGCTACCCAGACCTCCATTTCTGCAGGTGTAATTGCTCTGTGCCTGTAAAGTTCTGGTAGGAAGATGATTTGTTGGTAAGATGGGAGACTGAAATCTCAGATCCACCACAATGGGTGTAGTCTGGGCAGAAGCAGTGCAAACTGCTTCATGTTAGTGCTCAGCTGGAGAGACCTTGCCCTTGTCTATTTGATTCTGAGTGACTTTATCAAGGATACTAAGTGTGATGACTGACCTAGTGCTTTTGAGACCCACGTCCTGGGAACTTAATGGAGACAACCTGTTTGCTGGTCACCGAAAAGAAAGCTGGTGTTCAGAGAGAGTTTTCTCTGAGTATACTGACTATTGCTTTTTTTAGTTTGTGGCCCGCATGGGCAACCAGCAATAGTCAAATTCCCATACTGTACTATTCCTATAAAGAAATCTTGTCCTTAGTAAGCAGTCTTTCAAGGGCACAACTGCTGCTGCCCATGGATGGCATCACTGCACAGGTACTGCTTACTGGCTCTGATTACCTTGGTGGTGTGCTGTAGGATTTTTAGTGTCTTTCTACCTCCCACAAATAAGGTTTATTCTAAACCTGCTTCTCCATGCCAGATCTTGGAGATTTTGCAGGGTATAACACTGCTCCCATCATTGGTGCATACTGGGGCCTGAGAAGAATGGTGAAAATTATTTTTCTCATTAAAGAACTTTCATTGAGATTACTCTGCTTCTGTGGTGCACCTGAATAATCCCAATTTTAGCCTGCCTGCTGTTGAGGGAAAGGTATGCACAGCAACTTGATTTGGGCAATGGAACTTCATGCCAGAATAGATGTAAGGGAGGTCAAGTCTCATGAAAGAATAAGAAAAATCTTTCCCTGCAAATACTGCTTTCGTAAATCATGCTTTTAGCTTCAGAGTCAAATGCATTTCCAACTCAATAGTATCAGTTGTTCTTGATTTTTATGTTTTCAATATTCATTTTTACTGCATAATATCAAAGTGATAGAAGATTTTTATATCACCAAAAATAGCAGTTAATACCTCAGTATTTGAAGCATGCTGACCAAATCAAAAAATTTTTTAAAAAGGCACTGATGAAATGGTATGTATGGAGAAGTTAGAAGACCTAGGTGTATATGCTGTCGAAAAGGTGTAACTGCTAAGGAAAGATTGGTACAAGAAGATAGTTAAGTTGTGGAAATTCTGACTTTCCTGTTTCTTAATTCCAGTCGTTAAATGATGGGATCTATTCAATTATGGCTTATTCTTATAAATGAAAGTGCAAAAGCACTGTCAATAGAGCTTCCTACAATTTCAGTGGTTTAAGCCTGGGAAAACATCCTGCAGAAGACTCCTGCATTAGAAAGGAAAGAACCAGAAAGCCTAGTAATCAATTCTAGCTGTAATTTCCATTCTCACTGATGTGTCAGTGCCAACTACTGCTTGAAAACACACAGTAATACAGCAGTAAGGTATTAAATGTCTACTATGTTCTTCAGAATAACAACAATCTGTAATTGTTTGAAAAATGCTACTTGCATTTATAGTGCTCTGTAAGTACTGGGAAAAAACAGAGGCAGACTCACCCAAGAAAAAGTTTAGTCTGAGTGAAGTGGGGGGGGTGTCCCTATTATTTTTACATCAGATTTTTAAGTTTTTAAGCCTGTTACGATACCAAATTGATGAGGCACCCACCTTCATGCTGAAGTATCCACTACAGCAGTATTTCATGCAAAGACTCCACCATGCATGTCTGAATTTAAGTATCAGTTTATGATGACAGCCCTGGGGTGGCAAATGATCATAGAAAGATTCTACAATAAAGAATCTATTTATCATATTTTAAACCTTTTACACCTCCTTCTCTGGAATAAGCCAGTGTCAGCTGACTGTGGACTTCCTTTGCAAATGTGGTCTTGCTGATTGACCTTGTTACTGAACTCTGGGCGTGTGTTAAAGAGATCCTGTTTAGCTGGCAAACAATTCACTCCAAGAAGCAGGGACAGTTTTCTGTAAAGGAATTTAGTTTCTCTTAGTATTCATAAAGCATTATATAAAGCCTTTGTATAAAGGGTTTTTCATAGTTGCAAAATAGTGATTGTCATCTTAGAAGTCCAGAAATGCAGTACCTGGAAGCGTGCATTTGACAAGCATTGACTTTCGTAAATTATACCTTCATATATATATTTAATAACCATTTTTAATGTCTGGCTTTAAGTTACCTTTCCTTATTTTGTGCTCTGAAAAAAAGGCTTCTGGAATGTTGCATTATTATTTTCTTATTTCCTGTCTTAAAAATCAGCATTTGCTTTAGAAATGCCCCTGTTTGTAACATAAATATCTAAGTATATTACATAAAGAAGTGATTATGTCATTACTCATAAATTCTTTATGAGCCTTTGTCGTGGTTTAACCCCAGCCAGCAACTAAGCAGCACACAGCTGCTTGCTCACTTCTCCCCCACCCAG